AAACAGCACCCTTGCAAACCATGCCTCTAAGGGTACACTACATGTTTACCAAGATAAACTATGTTTTTGCCCAAGGTTTAAAAACAGCCACAGCTCTGGTCAGAGAAGTCCAGAGTCTCTGAACTCGTCACATAATAGTTTACCTCTCCCTTGACTGCGTAGGGCGCGCTGCAGCTGGTTTGCTAATAGAAGAGGTTGTAGACATCCCTGGGAATACCCAGCTGGGCACTGGGATTCATCCCAGCTTGCCTCTGAGGGCAGGCGGTGGCTGCTGACAGACTCCCCTGCTCAGCCTTCCTCTCCACAGAAACCAGTGTACGTGGTTGTGGGCTGATGTAGCCCCTCACCCAGCTCTTGGCCTCTACAACCAACGCAAGCCCTGAAGCTTGTCATCCCTTTCCTGGTGTTTTATTGGAAATGCTTGTTTTACTGGAAATAAAATGAGTCAGAGAAAACTTTAAGCCTAAGGGGAAATAATGGCTGCTAATTTCTAGCTGACTTCTGTGAGAGGCAGCAAAAAGAACACCGTCCGAAAATGTCTTAACAAAAAAATAAAGCTTCAAAGAAAAAATTCTTAACAAAATGCTTACATTACCAAAAGCCAAGAAGGCAAAGGAAATTCCTCTAGAAAATAGCCTCATGCCAATGTCAAAAGTCAAGACAAGCCAGGAATAAAAGAAAATGAGGAGAAAGTAAAAGGAAAAGGCTTAGCTTTGTGTGGTCTCTGGAGGATGGAGAAGATAATTGTCAACATCTTTATCATCTGGACACAGCTATTTCAACTATGCGAAAAAGAGAGGGCCCAGTGACCCCAGACTGAAATTAGCACAAGACCATTATGCATGTCCCCATTACTCAGTGGAACTACTTTCCATTTTTATCTTTCAGCAACACACTTGGGATTTTTAACACCTCGTGCCTTGAATCTCAGCCAAACGATGCCAGCAGTCGGGAGTCACCGCAGCCTGCCTGGCAATGGCACCTGTAGCACTGCCAGCCCCTGCTGACTCGCCGTAGGAAGCAAGCTGCCTTCAGTGAGCAATTACAATTTCCAAGTCTGACATTAGCTCTGGAACAACTACATGCTTTATGCAATGGGTAAATTTTATTTAGGAGAGAAAAAAAGCAACCCACACTGCACTTCTTCCCAGCTGATCTTGCCAAAGTCAAAACAATTCCACCAGGAAAGGGTTGTCTAAACTCCTGAGCAGGCTGCAGAGCACTACTGCAATTCTCTTGTCCCATATATGAAGGGAAAACAAACAAAACGCTATCACAGGGCTGCCAGTTCCATGCCCAGAAAGTCAAAGGTAGGCTTGATTGCATAGGGAGGTGTCAGTTTGTTCTCACATTCACAGTATGTCATACCAGTGGGGAAAAAATGGCAATTAGCGTGAGCTCCACATCATTTGCTTTAGTGCAGCTTACTCAACGTAAATGTCTTCATTTATTTCCTGCTCCTATAAGGCCTCCGGCTCACACTGGTGGTTCCCCTCCCGTCTTACTCTGCACAGCTGCTGTATTTCTTTCCACCCATCTCACACATGTGCCCGAGCCAGCCAGCCAGATTCCTTCAATGTCCTGCCCTTCTCTGGGGCAGAAGTGTCCTTTCAGCTCCAAAGAGTGTCCTTCATTATCATTAAAGGAAATGCAGTGAGTCCTAACTATCCTCTGCCCCTTTGGAGCCCTTTTGTTGGTCTACCTTCTCCAGCAAGCAGAGGACCAGACAAATGTCTCCTGTACCAGCCAGGCTGTGCTTTCAGTCTCACCTTCTCCATCCTTTCCTCCTTGTCTCACTCTTCCTCCCAAGTGTGGTCTTTGCTCACCCTATTAAGACCTCCTCTTCCTGAAGACCATCGATGTTTTTTGATTTGGGTACTTCTCTCAGCATTGTCCCTATCTCCTTTCTCCAGGTGCAATAGGTTAATTTAGTTTCCAGGTTCCTGTTAACCTTTCCTGTGCCTTTCCAGGGCTGATGATAGGCTCTACTACAGGATACCTCTCGCTGTGTGCTTGTACAGCAGCTTGCATAATGAGTCCTGACCTCAAGCTTTTCAAAAACATTATCAGGAATTTAAGCTTCTTGTCAAACCCAACAGAAAACCACCCTGCTGTACGTTTGCTGAAGAATATGTGGGAAAGGAAGAATATGGACAGCTGACCTGTCCTCCCGGCTCTTGGCACCATCCTGCGGTTTCCCTCTATCCTGTGCATTTAACCCTCAGTTGCAGTCATGCACCTCAAAAGCCTACCTGAATCAAGACAGGCTAATTTTTAATCTGAGCATATCATGGTTTCATCAATATTTTTTTGTGTGTGCCTACTACTTGTTACTTAATCTGTGAAATACAGTTCGGAGGAAAAAAAAAATCCAGCCTATAAAACCTGTTGGTGTAAAGATAAGCACTTTATTTAATATCCAATTAAATGTGGTCACCGGAGAAATCACAGCTTATGCAACTTTATCAGAAAAAGATTAATCTATTTCAAGCTTAACCCAAAAAGTCATAAAAGAACTCATGAATTTAGATAGGAATCCACTTATAATCCAAAGACATTTTCCTATTGAGTAAGAACAGCCTAAATTGCTGCCTATATTTATTCTTGGTTCAATCAAATTTCTGTACTCAGTAGCTGTCATTGATTTTTAGGACAATTATCAAACAAAAATGATGAACAAACTGAAGGAACATTATGGAGTCTTTTTCAACTCCACAGTAATCATTAGAAAATGCACAGCCTGCTCATTGATAATGGTTTAACAGCTCACAGGGTGACATCATCACATTTAAAAGATAGTCACACCCGGAAGGCAGAAGATTTTTTTTTAATAGCATTACAATTTGCCATTTTAAAGTTAATTGTATTTTGCTTGGTGTTTCAAACTACACAGGCTGCACTGAAGTTACTTTGTTCATATTATGTGAACATGCCCAAAACCATGATTTCAAAATAAGGAAGCAAATAGTTGGATTTATTTATTTAAATTAAACAGACTTTCTTGCCTGTCTAGAAATTGATACTCTCCAGTTCATTAGCTGAATTTCCCACAGGGCCTGCAAAGGCACTTTTCATTTCTACGCTGTTTGATTTGTCTAGTTGATTTATTAAAAAAAAAGGATTCTATATTAAAATTATTGAATAATAACTACTTGGTTTCTTCTTTCCACATTATTATATTTAGTAGCGCATTTCACAGATAGTACGGAAAACTTGTTTAAAAAATAAGTGCATAGGGGTATCTGTAGAAGCAGCAGGGCACCCACTAGCTGCTGGGGCGCAGCACTTTTGATTTCTGTCTGCCGGGTCAACCTAAGGCAAAAGGTTCAAGTGCAACGGCTAAAAATCAGTATTAAGCAGTAATGTTTAATGGCTTACTTAAAATGAGTTCAGTGATCCAGCCCCATTCCACTGAGTGCAAAAATGCCTATCTATAATCAGTGCATAAAAGGTATAATTTAAAAAAGCTACAAGAGTATAACTCAGATCTGATTACAGCACATTTGCTGAACTGTATCTCCCCCTCTACACTGTAAATTATTTTGCGGTGCTCTACAAATATGGAGCTCACTTGCAAAGTTTGGCATGTATGTCAATTTAGTCCAAATTTTACAAACCCTTTGGAGGATCATTTATGTGGACAGCACCTTCCTGGCACCGTATGAGAAACCTGAGCTTCAAGGGAGAGGTGGTGGATGCCCATTTGCAGATCAGCCCAGGCTCTGAACGCACAAAAATCCACTCTAAGGCACGCAGCAGCTTTACTTGGAGACCCGAGCTCATAGACAAGAAGATGGGTGCAGCAAATGCAATCCAGCCCGTTTCAAGGTGAATAAATTAGGACTGCGTTTGGGTCTGGTTTAGGACAGATGGGAGCCCAGCCTGGGCACCACACGCATCCAGCGAAGAGCGGAGGCGGTGGGAATGGCTGGTACACTGCCCGACCCGTTGGCCTGCCTGGTGCCAGTGGCAGCTCCTGGAGGTGGCTGACCCATGTCCCAGCCCCTGGCCGTGGCGCTGGCCCGCAGGGAGCTGCCGGTCCTCCGTGCCTGAGCTCGCCGAGCTACAAAGACGACGCTCAGCAGAGCTCTGCCATGAAGTAGCAGCAGCAGGGTTCCCTCCTCCATGAACCTTCAAAGATTTGTGGCTGGTACTTTTTAGTTGAACTTCCTGCATGTCAGTTCTTCATCCCATGCTCTTTATATAGCAGCAATTAGCATATCTGAGAAATCCCCGTTTGGCGTGTTTTATGGTCTCCTCTCTGTGTATTGAGATAATTCTGTAAGTTATGTGCAGGGATATGCCGTAATTCCTAATGTACAACTGTCAGGAAATCACTCAGGTAGATTTATTCACTGAAGAGTTGGTGAGGAAACTGATTCTGAACAGAGAGCTAGAAACTTTAATTACAAGAGAGAAAAAAATGACTGAAGCACCTCAGACTGGTCAAGAAGCTCCTTTCATGCTCTAAAGATATGTCCTGAAGTTAATAGATGAATGCAGCATAGCATTTCTGAATTCAAATGTCACCTTCTGCCACCAATTGTTATTCTATATTACTATTGCTGACTTTCTTCAAAGTAATAACAACGTCAAAAAACAACCACAAGTATTACATCTCAATTTCTGGAACAAAACAAAGAAAGATTGAAGAAAAAAGACCATCCTCGAGCAATATCTTCTTGACCAAAGGAAGTTCATACAATGCAGAAAAGAAATATTCATCCCTGTCAAACCCTGATCTTGCTACCACCGAATGCAATGGCAAAACTCCTATTAATTTCTAGTGGAGCATGAGCAGTGAATAACTCAGCTGGAAGTGGTAAACCATAAGCGACATAATCACTCAGGAACTGTCTCTGCCTCAAATGACCTAAATGGTAGGAAGAAATACAGCAAGGAACATTAATTCAGAATTTAGCAATAAGCCTTTACTTATGCTTCTGTGTAACTTCCACTTCTAGCGGAAAGGTTACGGAAGAGTTTCGTGCACCCCTCTGCTATGTGGTGAGCTGCAGCACAAATATCCGAGCCCAGAACTGGGAGCTCGGCCTCCTCAGTTTTGCTCTCTGCTTTGACGCCGATCCACCCTGGCTGTTCTTGCTCCGGACCTGTGGCCAGCCGCCAGCGTGCCCAGCCGCGGTCTGGGGACAGAAGAAGGTGTGCCACTCTGTCCTCTGCCCCAGTCTCCCGCATCGTTCTCCAGCTGGTTCCTCAGACCGGACCACCAGCAAGCGCGGCCATGGCGAGCACGCCTGCCCGGTGGCGCCGCTGCTGGCATCCCCATCTGCCCGCACCTCGGCTAACTCCTCTGGAACCAGATTTAATACGATCTTTTCAGAGTTGCCATTAATGCTTACGAAGCGCTTTGAAACTCCTGAATGGAAGAGATTACAGTAGTGTAGTAAAAGATGCAGTAACTGAAACAAGCATTACTTAACAGTCTTTAGAACTAATATCTTTTTAGCATTGAATAAAAAATGCCATCCATGGGAATGTCCAATGGGCTGGATAATACATGGTGTAATTAATTAGGGCTCCATCAATCGATTTCAGTCTGCTGAGAATCTAGCTCTGCATGTCCCTCAGTAGACTTCATTGTTTTAGTGTGACTTCAAACAAGAAAAGCAGTTCTGGACTGTTCATTTCACTGTGCTTAGGTACTTGTGGACACCATCATCACCGGAAGTGCTCAAAAAACATGTGGGCGTGGTACTTCGGGACATGATTTAGTGGGCTTGGTGGTGTTGGGTTAACGGTTGGACTTGATGATATTGAAGGTCTTTTCCAACCCTAATGATTCTGTGGTTCTGTGATTTTTGGTGTATTGATGAGAAGGCAACTGGGTGTTATCGGAGGCTATAAACCTGCCGAGTGGGGAAAAAGGAAGGAAAAAAAAAAAAGACCTGCTGTGTTTCAGAAGACTCCGGCTCTGTGTAAGAGGCTGTTCACAGATGTTCAGCGTCTCCTATGTGAGTGTGAGGTTCTACCTCTTCCACCTCCCACAGAAGCTACGTCTCTATGTCTATGTCTCAGCCCAGCTTTGTGCATGTTGTCATGCCACTTATGTGGAGATGAGTACTGCATTTTCCTCCCAAGACAGTGTTATCACATCTGTGAAGAAGGTGATGGTCACCATCTAAATTTTTGTCCTCACAGGAGAGGACAGGCTTCTTTAGAAATAACTGCAGTTGTTATTTCATGGCCATTCTATATACTTTGCATTAATATTGGTTTAAAATACAAATATTGCGTTTGTAATCAATAATCTCACAGCTGCCTTCCCCTTTTCTACTTCAGGTCTAGAAGTTGTAGCAGTCACATAAAGCTGCACCTCTGCACCTGAACGCAGTTGTACAACTCGCTTTAAATAAATGCAAGATTTGGTTGACAATAGATTACGCTGCTGCTATTTGAACACTAATAATCTCTAGCGTGTGCAAGAAAAAAACCATCATCTTCAGCATCTCATTTCAAGATAGATAGTTACAAAGCAGAGAGAGCGTTTTAAATCCCATCTCTCCTTAAACACGTGTTAGTGATAAGAGTTAGCAGGAAATACTCTTGGTTTTCCTCTCTTTCTAGCTAGACAAGCTTCCCTCACAGCCATTTGCAGTAAATGCAGAGGAAAATGAATAGAAATTTTTGATTCTGAGAGGAAATGCTGGATCTCAATATTCCTGACCCTGTGCCTCACTGGCCTGAATGCTTTTTGTGTATCTTCTAAATAAAACATGGTGTAAAGCCACCTCACACCAAGCCTCCATCGCCCAGAGAAACATGCTGGTAGGGAGGGAAACGAGTGGGGCATGTAGGAGGGAATTTGGGAAAGGAAATGCTTATCCTAGACTGTGTAAGAAGCAACCTCAGCCTTTCTGGCATGCTGGTTTTAACTCATGAAGTAAAAAAGGTACCATATTTCAAAACAGGCAATTGTTATATACAAAATACAATTAAGAGATTTGGAACTACATGAATATGTAATGTACACATTTCTTTACAGATGCATTTTTCTCCAGACAGGCCGGTGCCTGCTTTAATTTGGAAGCTATCCATTTTCATACAAAGTTAACCAAGAGTGACAGGAAATCAGACGCCTCCGTTATTTATCTTTTCTGAACTTAAAAAAAAAGAAAAGCCTTCTGTTAATTACTTTTCTAGGAAGCTATTTTGTGATACCACAGGGATAGATCTTCCATATTCAGAAGTGCTACGGAAATGACAACTTTACGACATGCAGGGTGAATAAAGTATGTTACATGCAGATATTTAAGGGTATATTTGTCTTCATTTACTGTAAGTGAATATGTGACCAACAATAAAAAATTTAACTGCTTCTGGCCTGGCTGGATGCATTTACCACAATTACTGGACGTCCGACCTCTTTAACCTTATACATCAAGTGGCACATATACATTATTTATTTAGCTGGAATTAACAGAGATCTGTGAAGCTCGTATTTTCTTTTGGTTCTCTTGCTCATCAGTCATAACTGACCCCTGTGAGTATGTTCAGTGGTGACAGTTTCATGTCACTCTGATTCATGAAAGACTGGGGAAACTACAGAACAAAGCAGTAAAATATTCTTCATGGATATTTAAAAGAAAAATTCTAAACCACCTTTACATCCTACATAATCCCTCATAGATTGCCATGAAGGCAAAGAGAAATGCTCTCCCTTGCTGTAATTATTGGAAAGAAGAATGTGAGTTGGCATTAATAACTGCTCTGCAGGAGCAACCAGGGCTTGGACTCCACACCTGACTGCACACTGATACAACGCTCTAGTGTTGTACAACATAAGGTCTGAGAAGCAGAGTGCATCTAAGTATTTCACTGGTAATTGGAAATCCGCAGCAAGCCCACCCTCGCCCTCTGTCCGTGCCCCAAACCCTTTCTAAGCACTCCTTTGTTTGAGGAGCCACGAAGCAGATGGGGAGGAGATGCTCAGCTGAAACCTAGCGCTGAGGGCAGCTTCTTCTGCTTGCAGGAGCACCGTGCCACAGCGCACAGCTCCTGCAGCCACATCCAGAGAAGCACCAGTTTCTCCAACTGCTGAATACCCTTACAGGCCTGGGAGCAATCCATGTTAATGGTGCCAAAGGTGGTCAAGCAGCAGCAACGCCACGCATCTTCTGAGATGCATTTCACAAAAGAGGTCTACTAGACTACTTTGTTTCTGGTAGGGAGGTTTTTTACTCCATCCAGTTATCATCATCACAAGCACTACAATGGATTCCAAAAAATCAGACAAAATGTGCAATTAAAAACTGTTTTTGTAGTTCTAAAATGTTAACTCATTCATCAACTACTTTAGTGCTTACCAAAAGGAACGAAAGAAGCTCCAGGGCTGTGGACATTTTTATGCATGCACTTTTATATTAATTCCAGAAATGATTCATAAACCAAACCATCCACTCGATTTGGGGGGGAGGAGGAAATGTGAGAGGAATACACTTTTCTCATAATGAACCATATTCTTACATTCACTGAGCTCTCCTTATCCCAAAAGTGGTTACTCTTCCAACTTTTGCAAAGGTGGAAAGACCAGTTTTATCAAAGGGAGGATCTGACTTATGAGAGACCCCAATGAACTGCTCAAAATATTTTTTCAATAATTGGAAAAAAAAAACCTTGGGGAAAATTTGCAAAAAGGCAGGTGCATACATTAAGGAACTCCCTTAACAATCAGAAGTTTACATCCGGTTTCAAGAGATTTTTCTCTGATGATAATCATCCTACAGAGAAAAACAACGAGGAACAACAAGTGATTCACCATAGCAACAAACGCATAGCACATACCATATGCTAATCAATCCATACAGAATACTTTAGGCTCTATGTAAATAAATTCTTTATTTTCAAAAAGCTATAGATAAGTTTAGCTAGCGCTTTCCCAGAAAAAGATTGCAATATTTAATTCAAAAGGGAAAAGAAATTTGTTTCACTGAGGCTAGAAACAGTAAAACTACAGAGCTCTAAAAGTCAAGTAAAGGTGCCTAAGCACTATTTTCCTTCTACAAGAGCTGCCATGCAAGTATAACTGGAGGGATTAGCCCCACTGTGTTCGGTGAAGCTGCCCGCACACCCACAGTCACTACGTGCCTTGGCAACTGCAGAACACAAGAAAGGCAGAGGCCTGGGGCACAATTTTGAAAACTGTACCGAAAATCCATCTTTGCGCATTGTGGTCTCCATAGTGTTTGTGAAGAGCATTTCAAACACCACTCTGTTTAATACACTCTGTCTTTGCAACCCTACTCCGTTGAACTCTCTCGTACATAAAATTAGGCAGCAGCGCACAGCCCTCCCACATACACACGCGAAGGCCCTGAACAAACCACGACTGGCGGGGATCTTTGCACCACACTGCTCTTGCTGTCCAGTTCTTCCCGTTTAACGTGGGAAAACATCCTTTATTTGTGGGGAAGGTCAGCGGTTCCATTACAGAGATGAATTGAGCTGTGTCTTCTTGTAAATGCAGCTTGCTAACTCGTTCCCATGAACGGCTGGGAAAGAAAACATCTACAACTGGCTCACACTTACAGTACTTACAGTACTCGAGTGCTGTGATTGCTAACAGGCTTTTCAAGCACTGCAATTCTTCAATAAAGTTGATAAATGGTAGAGGAGTATCAACACACTTAATTCTGCGCTTATGTCTCCAGCCTCTCTGGGCGCGTCCCAGAACGGTGCCGGAAGAAATCTGGCCCTTTTTGCTAATGCATTCAACCTCTCCCTCTGTTTTGATCTAAAAGCATCTTCAACTGTTCTCCCATTTTCTTCTGCCTTTCAGGGACAGAACTGAATGCCCTGGGAAGCAGAGGAGAAAAACTTGGATTCCACTCCTAGTCCTGCAGCAGTTCAACAGGCTCCGTCGCAGCAAGGGGAAGGTGGCGGCATGCGTCTGAGGAAAAGCACTCAGATCTCCTCTAAACACTTTTCCTTCCTCGTGAGACACCATCTCCCCTCTACTTTCCAGATATGGGGTATTTCCACGGGAAGGACGCACTGATCGTGACCATCTTCCTGATTTAGTCTACACTGGAGCTTCTGTTGTCAAGTGAGAGGTAGCTGCACTTGTTTTTTCACACATGAACTCCCACCTTCAATTTTAAACTGGAATGGAACTACTTATTATATGTGCTATACACCAAAGCTCTCCTTAAAAGAGTCTGCTTTTGAAAAAATTACTGACATTAAGTCCATATTTGGGAAGTTTTTTTCAGAGGGAGGGAAGAAGGGGAGGAAAGACTTGTGCATTTCTTTGCTTTCCATTAATATATGAGGATAGAACTGATAGGCAGAAAAAAGATTGCAGATTTAAAGAACACTTGCTAGCACGTGTGCCAGATGCTGATAGCTATATATAGCCACTCGAACAAGAACGACTGCAGAGGGTATCTTATCCAGGCAAACAGGAATTTGCCTGAGTAAGATCAGTGCAAAAATGAAAACAAAAAAAAAATACAACATTTAGTCTATTGTGCATTACTTCTGCTGCAGAAGAAGTTGTGTAAGTACTCCGTGAAGTGGAATAAGAACATGTCCTCATGATGACCTTACCTACTTTTCACATAAATATGTTCCCAAATTTAACAGAACCAAATCTATCCTTTTTACCATTAGACTGCTAGTCATTCTTGAATACAACCTCAATTTCCTTGCTCCATAACCCTTAGAGAAGTAAGCAAAGGACAATAGATAAGGCTTCTTCAATGTAATAAAGCAGCAGCATGCAGCCTATAAGATGAAATCAAAACCAGAACTCAGATATAAAGAACGTGATTTGCCATCTCAGGTTTTTCTTATTGTGTCACTCAACAAAATTTTAGAAAAGAGAAGCACTTTATTTTCCTGCCTCTTTTCCGCTATACCTCGATACCACATTTTTCTTCCCTTCTATCCACTACAGTAGGTTTTTACCTACAGCAATATAATTTCTAAGTAGTTCAAAATGTGAAATAGCAGTACTTGAGATGACGAGCTACCATTTCTACAGAGCAGTATGATAATTTTGGAAGGACTGGGAGGTTGGGTATGGATTCTAATTAACACTGATGAACCTGGCTCCTAAAGATTAAATTCCCAAATGAGTAACTGCTACCTTTCTACACACAGGTCTATCCAAGTTATTCTCATTAAAACAATTAAAAAAAAATTATAAGCTTCTGTCTGTGTCAAGATATTGAAGGCTTTCCAAAACTGATTAAAAATATTAAATGAGGTATTGAACTACATTAAAAATCAACCTTTTTCAAGTACTGAAAAGTAATGGTCTATAATTTGTATTCAAGTGATTTTATTTCCAGTGAATAATAATTGTACTGCAGCCAACTTTGTGCCCTGTTTCTCTGAAAACCTCAAGGGATGTACAGAAGGGGATTTTGTATCCTACTGAA